TGGACAGGTGTACCTAATATATATATATATATATATATATATATATATATATATATATATATATATATAAACAATTAATCGCATGAATCATGATTAATCAATTATTGAAATAATCGCCAACTAATTTAATAATCGATTAATCATTAACTGGAGTATAGAGACTGTAAAACATGCCTTTAATTGATAGAGCAACTCACTTAGAGCAGTAATTATACAAAAATTGTAAAATATATATATAAAACTTTTTGATCTAAGATAAATGTTTTCATCTCATATTATGTTCTGTCCAGAATTGCACAAGTGGAAAAATTGTAGTTCACCTGGTTTGATTTTGTAATGAATGAATCTTTGGCCAAAAAAAACAGGCGAGTCTCGAGTCACCAGTTCTCATGCTGACCACTTCATTACAAAATAAAATTAATTACTAAAGATTCATTTCTACATCACATCACATTTCTACAATTTTGGAAATTGTTTGCTATTGTCTGCTCTTGTTACCACTAGGAAACTGTTATTACCAGTTGTTTTAATCCCCAAAATAAAACTGATTAATACATTTTAGATCACTATAAAATATTTAGAATTACAGAATTTCTAACAGGTAAGCTTAAGACCACTCAAAATCTCGACTATGAAAGGCGCTTGAGATGGATGGCATAAGTTCTTGTATACGTATTAAGGCCATATTTGGTTATTTCCCAGGCAAGCAGAATTTTAATAGTTAGCCAAGAGCACAAATAGATCTGGTCTGGGGACCAGTGCATTTCATCTCAGTTGTATGAGGATGACATGGTTCTGCTGGTCCCCTCCTCCATAGACCTACAGCATAGACTGGGGTGTTTTGCAGCCAAGTGCAAAAGTGGCTGCTATCAAACCAGTTCCTCTGAATTCAAGTCTACAGCCCCATTTATACTATCATTTTGAAACTGTGCCGAGAACAGTCTGAGCACGGTAACCGAGACAACTAATGAGTGTAAATGGAATGCAACTGAACTGGATCGTTCCAGACACAACCGAACCGCACTAAATCTAGTACTAGTTCAACAGTAGGGCTCAGTGCGGTTCAGTTGTGGCTCTGTTCTCTGATAACAACAAGAGGAGAGCATGAGCAGACCGCATCATCTAAGAGGAGCTCTGTCATTTGGAAGAGGTTGAGTCTCCTCCACATCAAGAGGAGAGAGCTGAGGTACCTCAGACATGTTTCAGATATCATCTGAACGCTTCATTGGAAGGTGTTGCAGGCATATCCCACTAGTAGGAGACCCTTGGAAATGACTACAACTGTCTGGTTAATTGATCCTCCCTGGCTGCTCAATGATAGAATTGCTTCATATAGATGAGAACCAAGTGTCTCCTCACCTTCTACTTTGAAGAAACTTCTCTCTGTCCAGAACCCTCTCTGGCACTTTTTCAAGGCAGTTTTAATCTGTTAGAAAAGTAGGACGGAAACCTTTAGAAGCTCTAAAGCCTCAGCTGTTTATAATTGCATTACACTTAAGATCAGCAGACACCCTATGAATGGTGCAGCAGTAACACACAGCAGCATCGACATGGAGCTCAGCGGAAAATCTCCTGTCTCTGCTCTTTTTAATGTTAATTTTATTGCATCTCCATGCCAAGCTGGCTGTCATCATGATGGTGTCCCTTATGGATGAACCTGTCGGTATGTGTTGGATCAACAGATCTCAAGACATTTGCATCCTAAAGGCAGTGGGTGCAGAGGCTACGGTTCACAAAATGGTAACACAGTGTAATGAATTTGAACTCACACAGGGTGCCAGAGTGCAAAACCTGCATTTTTAAAGGGCAGCGAGTATACGGATGTGTCATATGCACGGGATACGGGATGCACTGCAAAAAAATTAAATCTACATAAGTCATGTTTTTCATAAAATAGGTGTATTTTTAATTGAGGAGAAAAATTTGACATTTTGCAAATGGAACAAGACAATTTACATTTGTCTTTCAAGTACATATTATCTAATTATCTTATTGGCAAACTGTCTCATTTACCCACTCAAATTAAGGGTATAATACACAGAATATAAAACATTTTTACTTCTAGGTAATTTTTCCAGTGTGGGGATGCTTTTTAAGCAAGACGGAACTTGAAACTAAATCTGCCCTTCCTTTTATATTGAAATCATTCAGAGTTAATGTCTCAGCTGTCCAACCTTACTCTCAACTTGCAGCCTGGACATAAAAAAAGTGAAATACAGGTTATTTAACACCTAAACACACCAAACAATTAGGTGCTAGCAGTACTTTATGTTATCAGGTGAATGTAATTGTGTGTATGCATGCCGTACACATCTGTGCAAAGCTTAATTTCAATGATTGCATATATGCGCTAAATTGCACCAAATAACAAATGTGAGTACAGAATAGCAGAGACCATTTTTATGCTCTACTTTGAAAACAAATAGTAGGTGAAGATTTAGGCCCCGTCCACACGAAGTCAAAACGAACACGAAACGCTAATATTTTCCAGAACGTTTGTCGTAAAGACGGAGACGTAAAATAAATGTGAGCGTCCACACGAATGCATGAAAACGCTGCAAAATGTATGCCAGGCCTATAATTGGCGCTGTGGTGCCAAAGCAAAAATAGGCGACGAAATGTTGGGCATGCGCACTAATATTTATACATGGTTGCCCTGCGGGTCCATTTTCGTGGTTCAGTCAAATTCAGGTGCTGAACTATGTCGTCGATATTGCTCTGTTCTTCCTGGAGATATTCCAGAAGAAGAAGATTCTGTTGTAAGCCCGACAGCAGGGTGAGTAGCATTAGCAGCAACCATTCAACACAGTACAGCGCCATTGTTGTTGTGATGTGTCGCGCATGCGTGTTTACAGGCGACACTATGACGCATGCGTGTAAAAAAAAAATAAAAAATGCGGTTAGAGCTTAAAGATGAAAACGCGAAAACGGCGTTTCAAAATCTTCCCACTCTGAAGGCTGAATAAAAATAAGATCGTTTACAGACCCCCGAAACGCCGGCTTCGTATGGATGAGAGGCTGGTTTGGTGAAAAATGTGTGCGTTTAGGCCAGGGTTCGGCTTTGTGTGGACGGGGCCTTAAAACCTGCTCTTGTTGATGCAGCCTTTCTCCAATTAGCATCAGGGGTTATTTGCATTTCAATAGTGACAGTTAGCAAGGTGGAGTGAATACACAAACTTTCAGAGGGGAGGGGAGCTTGCAGGGAAACCTGAACTGTACTTGCAGCTGTATCTCCCACTTCTGTAATCTCCAACGCTGATAATGTCTTCTTGTATCTTATCCCTCTCGGCATCTGTTATCATTTTTGCTTTTTGAAACTTGATATTGGAATACTCTTTATTTACACCCGCTGCTGGAGAAGTTGTCTCCCTCTTTACTTTAGAGGATGCGCAAAATCTCACCTTATTGGAAATACAGATAACGTTCTCTTTAACAAACAGGCAGACCAAAAACAATGCCAACAGAATGCCATAATTCACCTAGAAAACCTTTGTATGCAACCAAAGTACAATAAGTTACTGTTGTAAAAATTCGTAGTCCCTTTTAACATACCAGCAATTTATATGTGACATCTAGCTGTAGAAATATCAGAAAATCTAAGAAATTGTAAACTCAACTATGAAATCTCATAGGTGTGTAGACAGTGGGAGCAGAGTCCCTGCTGCTGACAGTATGCGCATAATAACTCAACGCTGTTGAAGCCTTAGGTTTGCAATTGCACAGATTAAATAAATTATTTAATGTATTTAATATGTTGGTTTATAAGATATCCTTAAAAAGATACGTGAACTAAAGCCATAAGGGGATGGACATGTTCGGCCCATCATCCTGCTCCAGTGCGCCCCCTAGCCAACCCGCTACCATTGGTAGTGCAAGGCAGAGTGGAGCCATTGTTTTGTTATGTGCAATCAAAATTCCACCACCCGAATGTTGCATAGTGAATTAACATAAACCGGATTAGGCATTTTTCAAACCAGTTTTTAAGTTTTGACGAGTGGGAATCTTAGCCACCTGCTGTGATTTAGTACTACTGAAGCCCACAAACTCCTTGGTTTGACAAGTTTGACATTTTGAGGAGTTATGTATATACATATGTGTTTTGTGAGGTGCTGGATTGTTAAATCTGCATTAGGTCTGCTCTATTTTTTTTTTTTTCCTTTTTTACAGTGTCCTGTCTGGCAATGTGGCAATAAGAATAATTGTCTTGATGCCAAAAGGAGCCCAACAGAGGTCTGCTCTAAAGACCAAGGCGAGAGTGCTAGAGGAAAAAAACCCTCCAGAGTTTACAACTTCATTATTACTTTAAAGATTTTCCCGTTTGAACTGCAGTTTTATTGGTGTGTGTAATGCTTTAAAACTGATTAAAATCCTGCACATCCAGCAATAGATTCTACATTAACATTAGTGCTGGGGGGAAAAATACGATAAATCGATATTTTGTTCTCCTTTAAGTTACGATAAAAAATGACTAGTGACATAAATTACTTTCAAAAACTAGCATCAAAATGAGCGCACTGCATGTCCCCAGACAGTTTGACAATGATCGCAAAAGAAAGATAAGGTTATAATGTTCTAAAGAGAAAAATAACTGTGCACAAAGAGTGGTTATATTTAATCTCTGTTGCAAAGAGAAGCTCACTGTGCCCCCATGAATCCCTACAGCCTGTTTTGATATTTATTTCATTTATAAACATGCAACAATATTTAAGTTCATTCGTTCCTTCTATATTTTGGTTTGTTTTCTGCTGTCCTGCTTGATTTAATAAGCCTGCATAGACGTTTTTTATAAACATGTTTGCACCTTCTTTAAGACACACCGACCTCCTGAAGATTAGGTGAATGTTTCCAGCTAGAAATATCCCACAGTGAGCTAATTATTCACTTGTGATGAGGCATCTAAGAACAAAAAGTGGTGAACTTCTTTCACTTTAATCTGTGGAAATAATAGGAGTGCATTGTTGAAAAACTTAATCTTCATTAACAGAAAATTTGACTAATCGCCAGCCATTAATTAATAAATGACTAATCCAGCCTTTCTTGTATTTAAGGAATGTAGGAATCACACTTTGAAAACCACTGCAGGAGTTTCACAGCAACTTGCTTTTTGCAAGTGTGTGCATTTGTGTTTCCTCCTTAAATAATTTACATTCTCTCCCAGCTTCTAGTCTTTTGTAATGTAAATGTTCCTCTCTCATTAATAATGCATTGACTGTACACCTAAGACAGATTTTAGTATGTAGTATTGCTATATAAAGGTGCCATCCATCAATAGTTCATATTAAAGCACTAAGTGCTAACCCGTGTCCACTCTAACTGGGACGGCCAATGTGCTTTAGATTTTTCCTCCTGGTTTTTGGTCTCAAGCTCTCAATTTTAAGACATTTTTAACATTCCCTGAGGTGCTTCTTCCACCTCTAAGAAGTATAAGCCTCTATTAATTAGTATTGAGCTGATGGCCTGTAGCTCACAGTGTACATGTTTTCTAACTTTACATTATCTATACATTATTTAAAAGATAAGAGATGAATTTACTTTTACCAGTGAGGCATTAAGGTTTACGAATGGAAAGAAGTAATTGCAGTACAGCACATTGATAAACCATGAATAAACATGAATCAGCAAGCTGCAGGGTTTCCAGGTTAAGCTAGAGTCCATTTTTAGATTTATAAAGGTGACCTGCTGGGGAAGGACCCTGCTGCAGGTTGTGGGATCAGGAGGGGCGCATTAAACGTCCGACTCAGTGGTGTAGGAAGCAATTGAAATGTGAGGGGGACACCTTAGGAAGGGGAGGAGAGGCTAATCTGCAGTTTACCAGCTAGATGCGGCAGGTATGTGCTTAGTTTCTTCAGATTACCAGTCCACGTCACCAGCATGACTAAAAACGTGAGCAATTATCTTAAAATATAATCATCTAATACAGAAATTTGCATCTTTGATCTCAAATGTTTTTTTTTCCATTCATTTTGTACCTAATAAACTGTAAAAAAAAAAAAAAAAAAAACCCTGAAGCTTTTTATTTTAATATTTAAATAAAAGAGAGACTTAAGCTACTTTCAATATTCTAAGATTAGTTGCCTCTTTATTGCAAATCAAAACATTGTTATCCTAATTTACACCAGGCTACAAACTAATTTGACCGCAGAACATCAACCAAAATGATCTTACTGCCGTTCATCAGATTTATCAAGGAGTTTCATTAAATTTATCTAACTTGTAGATTGACATGTTGTAAAAACAGCCCAGGTTACTGCAGGTACGTGTTCACTGTCTCCCCTCTCCGTCTTCCCCTCACCACCATCATTTATCAATCACAGCTGCTCCAGGCTGTCCTGGAAAATATCTGCTCCTGTTTGACTCATAATAACACAGGACAGGTGATAATATTAATATTGTCTGACTCCAACTTAAAGCTTATTTTCATCTGATCATCCTTCTCATTTCATCCAAATGTGTAATCCAAAAAGTCCGGCTTCCATCCTTCAGAGAATTTAATTCTTGGTTGGAAATTTGACAGAGCCTGTAATTCACTGCAGGCATTGATGCTTTTCATACCATTTGCTCTCACAGAAAGGGCAGTTACTAAGACTCCCTGCTGAAGACCGTGTGATTCAGTTAGAGACCAACAATGGAGGACAATTGAACAAAAAGGCAACTAAAAGTCACTCATGAGTTGTTACTAGATTTAATGAGAATTCTATTCATCTCCCATTTATATATATATATATATATGTATATATAAAACATAATGTGCACCTCTACTTCCTGTCTGTCTGTGTCATGTGACCTATGGACAACCCATCACACTGCTGTAACATGAATTATGCCAGGTGCAGCTAGCTTGTAAAGCTGGATATCATTTGTTATTTGTTTGTTATTTATCGTTTCATGCAAATAACCACAGAAATGTGAAATTCTGAAATACAATCAGTTCTAAAGAATTAAGACAGTTAGAACTCTTTCAACAAAGATCTTCAGCAGACAAGAGATGGACTAAAAAAATAATTGTGAAACTATAGTCCCTCACTTAATGGGCAATAAAGTTTAGTATTTTTGGTTCCTTTTTATTTTGGGTAGAGGTGGATGTGTTGTGTTCAAGTTCACTGTATATGTAAATAAATGTAAAAATTTCAATAAAAAGTTAAATGTTAAAAAAAAGTTTAGTATTTTTAGAATATAACAGAAAAAAACCTTTGCAGAAACTGCAAAGGGAGAGAAACAAAAATCAGCCTCTGTCAATAAATAAATATCCTAAACACTTTTATGATTACTTCATAGCTCTTTGTTGATATCTTTGCACCGTACTACTCTTTATCTCTTTAATGTAATGCTTAATTTGAGTGCTTTATTACAATACTACTAACAGATACATTAAGTGACAGGTTTCCATCAGATTCCATTATCTTCTCATTTACTTCATGATACGGATGTTGAATATTTCTACATTAATATACTTACAAATCGAAAAATACAATGGTAACAAAAATAAATAAATGTATCCATTAATAATGATAATCTATAATGCATAATTTTGCTAATCATGCAGGGAGGAAGATTTTAAGGCAAAGAATACACATATAATACATTACACACAATATAAAAGAAGGGCTCATAAAATCTACAAGTGGTTGCTGGGAAAAAAGAAGCTTATTATATGTTGGTTAATGTTTATCGGCAGCGTTTAAATTTGTATTCCATATACATTTGTTTTGTTGAATTCATGGTGTATTTATCGACTGTTTTTTTTCTTACTTTCAGAAAAAGCTGCTGATGAAGACAAATGGAGTCAGAGTCCACTACAGGGTGAAAATAACGTTGTTTTGACCAATGGTGGAGGCAGAGGTGAAGAAAGCAACGATCACAGCTCCTCTGGGCAGAATGAAGACATCACTGCACCTTTTGGAGTCACAGAAGACCCCAACAACATCAGGGTGGAGCCAGAGATAAGTGTTACTGTGCCTGCATGCACTCAGGATCCCCATGCCAACAAGAACGAGGAGGAGAAGGGGGAAGATGAAGATGGGACTGTGGTGATAAGAGCAGAGCCTGTGTACATCACTGAAGACGGCTCTGGGGACCTTTCTTCTCTGAAGAACCAGCAGGAGTCCGCTTTGAATCCAGAGGGAGTCCAGGAGATCTTACATGCTATGGAGGAGGTGTCAGAAACAGAAGGAGCTCCAGAAACTTCACCAGAGCTGGAGACTGTAGAAGCAGCTGAGCTCACTGTCAAAGCACAGCCATCATCTGAAGATGCAGGAGACATGAAAGGAGGGTCAGAACCAAGCAGCAACACAGATGAAGAGGCAGAACCTGAAGGCCAGGAGGAGAAACCAGAAGATCCAGACAGCCCACCATCGCATTTACACACAAATACTCTAGAGGGCGCCACAGTGGCTTATGTGCCTACCTATGCTGAAGCTCCACTATCCCCTCCTGCGCCACAGTCAGCAGCAGAGACCAAACATCAAGCACCAGCTCCTCCTCAGGAGGCTGAGGAAGCTGTAAACGTGGAGGAACCTGAATCCAAGCTTAGTCAGTTCCAGGAGGTGCAGCTGACTGATCCTGAACCTGGAGAACAGGAGGCCCTTCTGCAGAAGCACCAAGCCCCCAACCTGAGCTCAGAATCTGCAGGATCAAACAGCCCCGTCAGCTCAGAGACACAGAGCCCAAACAAAGCTATCCAGGGAGAGAAATCCCCCAAACAAAAAACCTGCCAATGCTGCTCTCTAATGTAACCTTTCCTCCCATCGCCCTGCTTTGATGCATCCATTTCATTTTTCCTGCATCTGTCAACCTCTAACAGGATGCATCTTCTTAGGACTGATATTATTGGGAACAACCATGTTATACAAACCAAACAGCATGGAAGACTCTTCTTATCCCACATGTTGCAGAAACCAAATGTTATTTTCCTTAATAAGTAACTAAACATATCTGGTAAAACACATTTTCTTTCCTTTCAAGCTCAACTATTTTATTCATTTGAACATTTCATGAGAAACACTAATTCCAAGTAAATCTGTTCCCTTTCATGTTTTACTTTATCTGGAACAATGTAGAGGCGTCATATGCAGTATTGCAGATATTTGAAAAATATCAATTTATTCTTAAACGCCTGGAAGTATGAATTTAGTGTTTGTGTGAATTGATGTACATATTGTAAACAAAACCGCCCGTGGAACCACAGAGCTCGACCTCACCGTGGAGTGGGGTCATAATTAAACTAACTTCTGTTACTTACTCTGTGTTACTTATTATTGTCTCTGCAGGACCTTATCTGTTCCCAATAAAAAAATAAAAAAAAAAAAACTCTAAATTTGCTCAGATTAGGCTTCTACCCTGTACAGCATTTTAATAATTTTTATAACCATTAAACTTTTCCAAATATTACAAACATCAATGGTTTTTATCGGGGTGTAACACATTCTTGGTATTTTTAATTTTTTTTTTTTATTAATAAAAAGCTGCAAAGTGGCTTATATCTGTGTTCAGCTCTCTTTACTTGGATTCCCTTAAATAAAACTTGGCAATTACCTTCAGAAATGAACAAATAAAGTAAAATAAGTGTAATTTAATCCAAAAATAAGTCCAACTGTTCTGTGAAGACCTCAGAGGTTTGTAAAAGAAGATGAACAAACAGCATCATGGAAACAGGGGAGAGGTTTGAAATGGTGTTAGCTTATAAAACAAAAATCTGTTTTTGTGTCTGTAGGAGCACAGATCTATTCATCTATAAAATTATTTGTATAAAACTAATAAGTTTATGAAAATGAGCAAATTTACAAAGACATGAAGGTTAAATGTAAATGTATCTAGAAGACTATTATCAGCTTCACCTACATAATTAATAGCATGTTGTAGCTTGCAAACCATGAAGCACTTTCTTACCAAGACAATTTATTATTCCTGAGATGGTGAGCAGCTTTACGCGCTATCAGTTGCGCTTGGTGTGCTAAATTCCAAGCCTCTACACACATAATGAAGTTTAACTTAGAAAATGTCCTGAATGACAGATCTACACAGTTCATTTAGGGGAGCAAAGGGCAGCCTGAGGAACGGTCGGTTCAATTGATCAAGAATTGTTTGATTTTGGCCAACAATCACATGGAAGCATTTAAATAGAGTACATTTTGATTTTTTAATAAGTCATCTTAAATTTGAAAATATTTGTAACTACAAGCAGGGACACAACTCCCCTTTAAAGTCCCATTACAGGTGCCCCCAATGTAATTTTTATTTTTATAAAAATGTTTAACTCTGTTAATTGTGTTTACTAATGGATTAATTACATACATAGCTTTATTTGAGACTTTCTTCACCTGCTCGCTTTCTGTTCTTATCAGCTGCACCTCTGTTCCATATTTTCCTCTGTGGTGAAGGAGATACAGCAAATAGAGGAAATTTAAACCATGTTGGTTTTCTAGGTTTTTGCAACCTCACTAGTTTGTTTATTCCTACCTGATGCCATTACTGAGCTCCTCTTTAGCAGAAAACATCACCAACTTCAAGTCTGTGTTTCCCTTAACCAATGCCTGTGTTCTTCTCTGTTAATTCAGATATAAAAACAAGCACTATTTGCTGTTAGTTAATGAATTACTCAGTTTGCTAATGCTCTTTTTCTATATAGATTATATTCAAAAAGAATCACTTGGTCTTAGGAAGCTGTCTGTAAATTTTGACCTAATATTAAACCAGTCTAATGCTTCCCCTGTCTGTCCTGATGCCTTCTTCTCTTTCTCTCCATCCTTACTGAGTGGAATTTATTTTATACCAAGGTGTTTTTAAAAAAGACGCTTCTTCTCAACATCAATAAGAGTTATCTGAGGTGGCTCGGACATGATGCCCCCTGGATGCTTCCCTCAGGTGGTGTTCCAGGTATGGCCCAGGGGACGAATCATCTAATGTTATCATTTGTGGAAATCAGCTAGTGACTTGTATGGAAGTCTAGTTTTTTTTCCCCTTGTTTTATTTTCTGCTCTGAAAGGCAAGTGAAATGTTTGCGAAACTTTTACGTTTGTTCTTGTAAAACTTTATTTTGCCACTAGAGGCACTGATGTAGTAAAACAGTCACTGTCGGCTGTATTCTTCAACTGCATGAGAGGTCTGGTTTTCAAGAATCAATGTCCCAAATATAAAATTTGATTTTTTTCAAAGTAAAACAAGATAGAAATAAGGTAAAAAAAAGAATGTGTATTCATTGGCCATGGCATCTGCTTATCATATCAATCTTGTATTTTTAGGGGCAATAAAGAATTATTTGCAGGGATGATCCAGCATATTTGTAGGACAACAGCATAAGTGCTCTTTCATCAGCTCAATACGGTATTTCCCAGACAACCTTAGACTTGCTGTCAGTCAATGCTTATCAAGTTAACTTAAGTTAGACATGGGGTAAGAAATAATTCAATTCAGTTTATTTATATAGCGCCAAATTCACAACACCTGTCATCTCAAAGCACTTTACAGTTCAACCAGATCATACAGTCAAACTGATTCAAAGTTTTCTATCTAAGGAAAACCAGTTGATCGCATTGACTCAAAGGCAATCCCTCACACTAAGCATGCTTGTAGCGACAGTGGAGAGGAAAAACTCCCTTTTAACAGGAAGAAACCTCCAGCAGAACAAGGCTCAGTGTGAGTGGCCATCTGCTGAGGCCAACTGGGGTTCAAGGAGACAGAAGCAGAGACACAAAAAGCAGCTGTAGAAGGTGGCCCCGTCCAGGAAACACACAGCCAGGCAGACGAGCTCCGAGCCAACTCCCATGTCAGAGGATGAAGAGAGCACATCCACTCATTTACGGTCAGAGAAACAGGACTACACTGGAAAACAGGCCGATCTCCAGCATCTATAAACAAGGGTGTTGATGGAAGCAGCACAGCTGATGTTTCTTTCCAGGATGGCGTCACAGCCAAACAGGAACAGACGAGGTAAAGCTACTCTGAGGAGCTACATATTTAATGTGGCAACAATTTAAATATGAATCCTTCAATGATTACATTTATTTAAGTTTTAGTTTTAACAGTCCAATGGAACATAGATGAGGAACTTAAAGAGTTTTTGACCTCAAACTGCATTTAACAACTCTTGCTTAGACTTCTAAGTCTTTTTTTTTCTCCCCACAAACCCAACATCACAAAAAAACAAAACAAAGAAAAGCAACCATGGTTTTTAAAAACTGAAACAATATTTGGTATTTTAAAGTCAAAATTCTCATCAAATATACCTTAAAAAATGAGCTAGACATGGATTTATTTTGAGGAAACAAACAATTTGTTTTGGGGGCTTTTGTTGGGATCCTGCCCACGCAAGGGATTGCCGTGCAAGGTGATTCACATTGCGCAACCTCTCCACCAACTCATAAAAATAACTCAGCCTGGGATCCACCCTAGCACCAGTTTTTGAAGGTGGTCCAAAAACGAGGTCCACCTGGGGGTACAATGGTTGGATTCCTGAAAAAGCAGTCCGGTATGCAAACAGATCCAGAGGGAGGTGCCGGTCCCAATCACGTTGCCTCTGCTCAGTCAGAATGGCCAGCTGCATTGCCAGGGTTCTGTTGGACCCCTCTGCTATCATCACTTTGTGAGTTGAGCGGAGCAGTGTGTGTCTTTTTAACCCCCATCCACCGACACACCGCTTTGAAGACACTGGACTCAAAATTTCACCCTTGATCGCTGTGCAGCTCCTCTGACACCCCAAACTGATTTAACATCTCAACCACTAGGTTGTCGACTGTGGTAGTGGTGAGCTGATCAGGAATCGCATAATGCTCTGGCCATTTTATGAAATAGTCTATAGCCACAAGCACATTCCCCTGGTCTGTAATGGGAAATGGACCCAACACATCAACACCCACTCGCTCCATTGGGGCACAAACTTGGTATAACTGTAATGGCGCTTGGAGACGTCTAGTTGGGCCCTTCTGTGCTGTGCAATTGTCACAGCGGTGACAGACTACAGACTTACAGAATAAGTCCTCACCCTCTACAAACCCAGTGTGCCATAAGTGAAGCCACAACCCAAACCTGCTGTGTTTAATAAACCAGGACTGAGTCACTATAACTTACATTTTTGCGCACTGCAATGCAAACATTATTTTGTCATGATGAAACAGCAGCCCAAAACGTGTGGGAAAAAAGTCCAGAACAACATTTCAGACTGCTGCAGAGCTCAATAAATTTAACAAAGCAAATTTGATTTCTTCTAAAATATTTAGAGAAGAGACATGCTGATAGTGTGGAGCTCCAAGCTGTATTCTCCAGAGTCTGCAGATTCAATATGAGAAATCTGATGCAGTTTCAATGAGACATTTACCTATTTCCATGCATATGACTGTCATTAATTTGGGGCTTCATAGAATGCTTGGGAAAAGTTGGTTTTTGTCTTTTGCAGGATGCAAAAATGATGCAACAAACTTCCAGAGGTTGCAAGAGCTAGGTGCAACATTTTACATTTATATTGTTTCGCTGTTTTAAATGCATGCTGCTACGAATAGGTTCATGTTGATGTTTGTTTCAAGGTAGAGTCCCAGTTTTTAAGTGTAGTCCAAACATTTTAACATGGTTGGCACAGGGGCCAGTTCAAAAGCTTAATGCTGGCTCCTTAATTCATACTGAAACCAGTTTTGATGAGTGTCTACGATTTAAATCGCTGTGGGATATATTCAATAGTTTCACGCAGATACAGCGCATCCTGTATGATGAAACCGCAGGGTTAAATTTTCAAACTGTGCGGCCTGTTGCTCTGATGTGATCCTACTGCTCACAGGGTTTGTCTTAAAACCACATCAGACTCAGCTCTGCAGTTAGATGGCGCTACTCGGACTGATCTATCTGGAAGCCAAACAAGTAGAAGAGGAATATTAAGCTCACTAGTGAGAAACGTGCTGCCTTGGCAGTTTGTGCAATTTTGTGTGCTGAAAGCTCTAAAAAGAAAATGCGACAAAGTATTTGGACAGACATGGCTGAACAAACGTGGCTACTACAGTCTGTCAACTCCATTTCACTCGCACCCCTGCCATGCTTTTGTGTTTTCGTCTGAGAGGAAGAATCATTGTTTTCTTATGCCTACTGAGCGATTTTCCTATGACGGGCGACTGAATTTCAAACATTTTATTTTCTCCCGACCTCACGATTCCTGATCGGGAGGTGGTCGTGAGTAGCTGATCGCCCCGCGTTACCCCCTGTACACTAAACGATGCACGACCCACGATCAGGCTGAAAGTCGGCCTGTTCGAAAAATTCTAGCACGACTGGAAAATCGTCCTGAAAAGGGCAAAAAATGTACAGTGTATGCCCAGCTTTAGACTGAAAGCAACCTTGGAAAGAATAAAGCGCCTGGCCTAAGATTTTCTTCCCATCTGGATAAACTGAATTCCCTCCGAAAGGCAAAGACAGAAAAATATTTAGAGGTTTGAT